CTGATATTGTGGACAGCACGCGCGATTAATTCTTTCCCTGGTACCTGACTTCACCCAATATAAGTACTGTGGCATCCGTTGAAGCTACTTGTTGAATCTGGTGCAATACTTTTTGAAAATCCCTGCTGCGGCTTATAATCTCTTCGAAATTATAGGTCAGCTTGATCTCTTCCTGCAGGTATTTATTCTCAAGTTGTAGCTGGTTTTTTAGCTTCTCAATTTCTTTTAATCGCAGGATCAATTGTTCATTTGCCTTTGCCAGCTCCTTTTCCGCTTTCATTCTTTCTATTTCGGCGCCTGCCCTTGCTGCAAATATCCTGAGTATTGATGCCTGGTTTTTCTCTGTAGTAGCCGAATGCGGATCAATCGCAAGTATATGACCGATGATCTCACCTGACTTCGTACTGTAAATAGGTACGCCAACGGCAGACTCTATTCCTTCCTCTTTTGGGAATTTAGCTTGCACACCTTCCGGCATAAAAAATTCTTTTCCCTGCATGATGATCTCACAGGGTATACCCGCTGTATCATATTCGATATTGTCGAGTACTTTCTCACCATCCACATAACATAATGTACGCAGCCGCGTCTTTTCATCATTGGCACATTCAGTGATCAGAGCATAGCGCATTGTAAGCGTCATGGTGATGTGCCTTGCCAGTTCAATCAGGAAATCCTCACCGGTAAGACCTGAAGTAGCTTCCGAAACCGTACGCAGTAATTCCTCCTCCATTTTTCGCTGACGTATATCACGAACGATGCTGCAGGTGTATTCATGCCCCTCGTACACCATCAGGTTTTGGGTAATTTCTATGTCGATAATATCGCCACTTTTCTTTTTAAATCTGGCATCCATCACTACCCGCTTTTTCTCCCGCAACCTTGTCCAGATACCTTCCCAGTCTACAGTCTGTACTGATTGGTTTATGTCGAAGACATGCATCCGGGAAAGTTCAGCCGTGGTATATCCGGATAGCTCAGCCGCCCCATCATTGGCGTGCCATATGTTTCCTTTTTCATCAATCCAGAAAACGGCTTCGCGTAAGTGATCTAGTGTGAAAGCGTAGAATTCATTTTGTTTTACCTGGCGCCGAAGTTCTT